GAGTGAAATAAGTCAATCAGAGAAAGACATGTATCATATGACCTCACTGATATGAGGAATTCTTAATCTCAGGAAACAAACTGAGGGTTGCTGCTGTGATGGGGGGTGGGAGGGATGGGGTGGCTGGGTGACAGACACTGGGAAGGGTATGTGCTATGGTGAGCACTGTGAATTGTGTAAGACTGTTGAATCACAGACCTGTACCTCTGAAATAATTAATACATTATATGTTTAAAAAAAAAAAAGAAGAGAGCAGGAAGGGAAGAATGAAGGGGGGGAAATCGGAGGGGGAGATGAACCATGAAAGACTACAGACTGAGAAACGAATTGAGGGTTCTAGAGGGGAGAGGGGTGGGGGAATGGGTTAGCCTAGTGATGGGTATTAAAAAGGGCACGTACTGCATGGAGCACTGGGTATTATACGCAAACAATGAATCATGGAACACTACATCAAAAACTAATGATGTAATGTATGGTGATTAACATAACATAATAATAATAATTAAAAAAAAGAATACAAGTGTTATAAATTTGCTGAACTTTTCCGATGACCATTGGATGCTACCAATAGATACTTAGAGTAAATAAACATAACTTATGTATCCCTTTAAAGGCAAAAGTAGTTAAACTATAAATGCTTTCATTTGGATGTTCCAAATGATGGAACATCTATGATTTACAGATATTTGGAAACATTTTCATTATTATTAATTTCTTTGTTTATACATTTATTGAGCACCTACTATCATTATATGCTATTGTGGGCACTGGAGATATTATAGTGAACAAATCGGACAAAGCTCTTAACCTTCTGGAGCTTATATTCTAGTGGGGGAAGACAATAAACAAACATATAAAAGACTGAAGATGATAAGTGCTATGAACAAAATATAGCGGGGAAAGTGGACAGAGAATGATTGGGTAGGAGAAGCATTATTTTTGTCTTAATTGCTCAGGCTGTGTTAACAAATGTATGGTGGCTTAAACAACAGAAATTTACTTCTCACAGTTCTGGAGGCTTTGAGTCCTAGATCAAGATGCTAGCATGGTCACATTCTGGTAAGGACTCTCTTCCGGGCTTGCAGACAGCCCACTCCCTCCTGTGTCCTCACATGATAGACAGAGTTCTGGTGTCCATTCTTCTTCTGGTAAGTGCACTAATCCCATCATAAGGGTCTTGCCTCTGACCTCACAAACCTAATTATTTCCCAAAGGCCCCATTTCCAAATACCATCACATTAGAGGGCTTTGGGGCAGGTCTCTGTGGTGAAGTGCTGTTTGAGCAGAGTTCTGAGGGAAATAAGAGGGTGAGAGAAGAGTATGTGACAAAGTCTGCAAGTGGCAATGTGTCTATCCAGTTGAGAGCCACTGAAAGTGGGCATCTGGAGAAAGATGGACAACTGACCAATGTACCCTGCGACAGTGGAGGTTATTGTGACCTTAACAAGAGAATTTCTATAGGATGGTGGGGATGAAAATGGGATTCGTGAGGGTTCTGAAGAGAATGGAAGGAGAACAAATGCAAACTCTTCTGAGAAGTCCTACTCTAAAGGAGAGCAGAGAGAGTGACTGCAAGTGTTTTTGTGCGAAGGCAGGGAGATTACAGCACTTTTCTGTGCAGATAAGAATTAATAAAGTGTACCAGTGTTGTGGTAGGAACTTTGGAAGTACTCCTCTCATTGATTCTCTTTTCTCAGTGAAACAGGAAGCAAGGTATCAGCTGAGCAAGGACAAGTCAAGTGCTAGAGGTCCAATGAGAGAGAAGTTTAAACAGTTATTAAGGGCAGTGGGAGAATAGGATGTTCTAAAATTGCTGGGCAGCACTAAGACCAATTTGAGGCTCTTAGTTATAAACTGGAAGTGAGACTAGTTAGATTGATTGGGTTTCCCTCTACTCATGTTCTGCTGCTGGGACTTAGGCATAATGTAGGTATAAAATAAGCAAAGAATTGGATTTAACCAGGATTGGGGTTTTGCTAAGGGCATGTGTAAGTGTGAGCTCCAAGTATGAATAAATTCCTAGAGCTAAAATAATCTATTAATATATCTAACTAAATCTCAAATTTTTGCTGACCAGGGTTCTGTGATCAAAAAGAGTTTGCAGACTAATGATAAAAAGGAAGTGAATAGGTTCTCCGGATCTTCGCAACCCCGCCAGCATGTCTCAGGCTGAGTTTGACAAAGCTGCTGAGGATGTTAAGCACCTCAAGACCAAGCCAGCAGATGATGAGATGTTGTTCATCTACAGCCACTACAAACAAGCAACTGTGGGTGACATAAACACAGAACGGCCTGGGCTGTTGGATCTCAAAGGCAAGACCAAGTGGGATGCCTGGAAGCATCTGAAAGGGACTTCCAAGGAAGATGCCATGAAAGCTTATATCAACAAAGTAGAAGAACTAAAGAAAAAATACGGAATATAACAGACTGGATTTGGCTGCCAACATTGCATTTCATCTAAACTGATCTAATGCCTTGCTTTTCTAATACTGTGGATGACATGAAATAATGCAAATAGCCTGTTAACCTAGGTCCTGAAGACCGCACAGGACATGGCTCCAACAGAGTAGGGCCTGCCATGGTTACAGACCTGCGCTGAGTAGTTTTTATCCATAGATCTATTAAAAGCACATTTGTTACTTAAAAAAAAAAGGAAGTGAATATTATTAATAATGATGATATAACAGACACATAAAAATCTCCCTACCCTGTCCATGGATCACTTATAAAAAGTCATCACATATTAAAATACCAAGTAAATTCTAGTAAATTCCTAAGACTAAAACAATATATCTAACTAAATGTTAAAATAATATATCTAAATACATCTGACTACTATGCAATAAAGCAACTAAAACACCTAAGAGGGTCACAAACAAAATACCCAGCCACTTGGAATATATATATTTTAAATATTCTCCTATATGAATTAGGCCAAAAAGTGATTTGAAGGTTCAAAATCAAGTATTAATTATATAAATATACAATAATAATATATTATTAATAAATGTTAATATTAAAATATTTACAAATAATATTTAAGTAATAGAAGTAATAGATATTTTTAAACTCTATGGGCTATATCAAAAGCTATGCTAAGAAACATTACAAATGTAATATTTCCATTGTTAGACAAAAGTTTTGCTAATAAAAATAGCAATGAACATATCTGAGTTTTTAAAAAAGTCTCTGTTCAATTATTTCCTTGGGATAGTACCTAGAAATGCAATTTCTGGATCAAAGGACATAAAGGTTTGTTTTTTCTTTTCATGTGTTTGACAGTGCCACGCTTTTCTCCAGAAACTTGTATCAATTTATGTTCCTATTAATATATGAGATAGTCAATTCTCCACAACCAAGTAAACACTGAATAATTCTTGGTACAACTTAAACAAAATACATTTTCGAGCTGAAATGAAATGTGATTTTTCCCCTGTAGCTTTGGTTTGGTTTTTTTTTTCTTGGGGTCGGGGGGCAGTGGAAGTAGGGGGAGGTGTGGAGATGAGATTCAATATTATTAAAATGTATTACAAATGATTTATAAATTTTTTCATAGCTGTCTCTTGCCCCAGAGAATCCACAGTTCTTTGAATAACTCCCCAATATAACCAGCTGGCCTACAGTCATCATATTTAAAAGTACCCAAGTCCCACACAAATGGACGGAATGATTTAAAAGAATATCAAGAAGAGACTTTTTTGCAAGAATTTATGAATTTGAGATGACTGATATCCCAAAGAAATAATATCCAGGCAACCAACATCACTCTTTGGTTACAATAAATTAAATTAAAAAACCTTCACCAGGAGTTTCTATGATTCACAGGAAAAGTTTAAGCAATGTTTAATTATACAAAAAATAATGTACTATGTTTTCTACTTCAAAACCATATAGTGGGTTATCAATAAGAACTGCTTAAAACAGTGAGAAAAATTCCCCCAAATTTCACTTGAAGCATTTTTGTTTTAACAGAGAGTGATACCTGCCTTATTAGGCTATTTTATTTTATTCTATTCATCGTAATGAACTCATTGTACGGCCACAAGGAACAAGCCTTCCAAGACTCAAATATCCTCCCCACTAAACCCAGATGGATAACAGGAACTCCACACAGAGCTACTCCCTAGGAAAAAAGATTGCAAGTTTTTCCCCATTTTTTCCCTTTTCCCTCATCTCTTTCTCTCTTTCCTCTTCCCTCCCTCCCCACCTCTCTCTCTCTGTCTCCCCCTTTCAGTCTCTCCTTCACTGGGATAATTTCCACAGATACAGCAAAGGAATGCAGCAGTATTTTTTGGAGATATTTGTGTATGTACTGAATTCTGGTAAATAGTCTAATTTTAAATTATTTAAAAGCACGGCTAGAGCAAGGCAACTGATGAATTACTGAACTCTAATATGAAACTAACGATGTACTATATGTTGGCTAATTGAATTATAATAAAAAAAAGAAGTTAGCTGAAATAAATAAATTCACTAGACCAGTAGTCTAAGTATTTGTATACAAATGTTGAATAAAAAATATATAAAACTTAAAAAAAAAGCTCTGCTACAGCTTCTATATAATAAGGTACTTTTTCAAAATACAAACAATGACTTCAGCGATTTTAGATTTTTCTGTAGTGTGCTTTCCCAAAGGTGGTCACTTCTGTACTTACAGCTTTTCCATTATTTCAGAGCAGATCAATAGACCCATTATCAATGACTGTCTTCTATTTAAGGTGCAGAATAACTACAAAAACAAAATGTCTTTTCTTCAAGAACTTTTAAAAGATTTAATAAACACTTTAAAAGAAAAAGATAAAATGTCCAAACTGTTAATATTTATTACTTATTTTAAAAATTAAATATCATGCTTAAAACAGTTTACTACCTGGCTATATTAATTGTGGGGGTATGGCTAAACATTATCTTTCCTAACTGACTATAAGAGCCAGAGTAGTGGTGGTAATAATTAATGAATTATTAAATCAAAAATCCCACAGTTTATCAATATAGTACATGAGGCAGATAAATTCAGAAGTAACTTTTGCGAATCTGGTGATTTGTTGGTAAACTGTTCCTTGGCGTTAGAAGGACTGAGTGAAACACTTTCCAACTGTATGAAGTACAATGAAAGGAGAGGCAAAATTTTCATGCCACAAAAAATTCAACAGTAACTTAAGGCAGCTGCAAATTCAAACTAATTTCTAACTATACATCAGTCAATAATTAAAAGATTTTTCAAAAGAGGTATTTAATGGATCAGAGAAGTGAGTAATGTTATTATTTGAAGATGATAAATTATAAAACCTTATAATAGCAAATATATGAGAAAAGGCATGTAATATGTATTACCAAATGTGAATTGGCCAACTAGGTAGAATGGACCAATAGTCACAGATGGTATTGGTCCTTTTGAAACAAAATCTGCTGACTGGAGCTGTAACTGATGCTCAGTGTCAGCCTGTAGACCCATTTGGGACACAGTAAAAGTCAACGCTGAAGCAGTAGGGTTGGAAGAACTTCTATAATTAAAACTGGAAAAGGCACTTTTATTATAATTTGAACAGGAAGTTATCTGAGCAATGAAAACTATTAGCAACTGAAAAGTACCTGAAAAAGATTTACCGGAGAACTCCTCATACGAAAAGTTCATATAGGTACATAACTAACTGCAATATCCTTTTTGCAATCCTATGTGAGTCAGAAGGAATGACTGGCTTTATGTACCTGGAAACTGCATTATTTAAATAAAACAGAAAAAAATATTCAGATCATCCAAAGGAGATATTAATAATATTCACATATATTGTCTACAAGAACACACCTATTTTAGTTACCTTACTTGGACAAATATTTACTGAAAGTTTGTAATGTACAAAGCACTGTACTAGGTACAAAGGATCCGAAAGTAAAATAAGTCCATGCTCTCAAGGACCTTATTTAATAAGTTAAACCATGGGGGTGCCTGCGTGGCTCAGTTAAGTGTCTGCCTTCGGCTCAGGTCATGATCCCAGGGTCCTGGGATTGAGCTCTGCAGGGGGCTCCCTGATCTGTGAGAAGCCTGCTTCACCTTTTCCCACTCCCCCTGCTTGTGTTCCCTTTCTTGCTGTCTCTCTGTCAAAAAATAAATAAAATCTTAAAAAAAAATAAGTTAAACTAAGGAAACACAATGGGTTATAATCTATCACATACTAAAATACCTGAACTTAAATGTTGCCGGATGGAGAAGGCTCAGTAAAGGGAAGAAAAGTAAATGCCTGTTTAGGGAACTACAAGTTCAAGGGGGTTCCTTAAGCAGCGTGTGTGTGTGTGTGTGTGTGTGTGTTTTATGTGTGTGCACATGCATGTTTTGGGAGGGAATATTGGAAAAGTGGAGGAATGGTGAGAGATGAAGATGAAAAGGCTATCTGAGGGCAGATTAAAAAAAAATGTATTCATATTATGCTTAGAAGTTAAGACTCTTCTGGGGAAAATGGAGAGTCATGAAAAGCAGAAGGCTGGCAAGATCCGATCTGCCTTTGCGACCAGCCCTTTATGAAAAGCACAGTTTGCAAAGACATGCAAACACCGCAGATTACATTGATCACTAATTAGCTATATTTATGTCTAAATGAGGAATGCAATGATCTCAGAAGGACGGTAACTGCATTAAACAGCCTGACTGGCATGATGTCATGAAGTGGCAGCAACAGTAAGAACTGAACTGAAGACAGGTCCTCAGCATGGATGCAAAAAGGAACAGAGGGAAATCATCTATACCAAACAAGCAACGATCTGTTAATTTCACTACATAAACTACAGCATTAAAAAGACAAAAATCTTGCCACAGAATACATTTATTTTCATATTTAGAATTACTAACTTGTTGAGATTAAACCAATACAGATAAATAAAAGCCAGACTATGTAACAACAATCTGCCCACCTACTGTGGGGAATGTGGGTGAAGGAGAAAGAATAGGGAAATACAATCCACAAAATATTCAGGGCAAAAATATTTTGGTTATTACAACAACCACAGTTTGAGAACTATAAACATTAAATGTAAATTAGTGGTAAATCTTGTGGTGTTCTTAAATTCGATGATATTTTAAAACTCTTCTCTGCCAAGGTGTTTTATAAACAAGTTGGTGGACTGATCTCTAAGAAAACCCCTGTAATGTATCTTTTAAAAGTGAAGGATATCATTTTAAAAAACAAACAAATTATTTGAGAAAGAAAATACTGATTGATTCCATAAAAACCTAATTGAACAGTATAATCAGATGTGTTAGTCAAATATCCATTTGTGCAAGACCAGACACAGCAGCGCAGAGAGGCCTGCACACACGCATTGCCACTGGTAGGCACAAAGGTTTAGTTTGCAGGGCCGGTGTGTATCGTTACCCTCAAAAATGGTTCTCTAGTTTACTAAAATCGAAACTCCTTGATGTGGGGAAGGTGGAAGTGAATGGTAATCATTGTTCCTATATTTTACTACCAAGTTCTGATTTAAAATATTCTATCCCCATCAAAAAAGATACTTGTGGACATCCAATCCGAAATCTTGGTTTGGATTAGGGAAAGCAGGATTACTATGAGGATTGTTTCAATGCTGTCACCGTGTAGTTAGCCCCCAGGAGTCGAGGGAAAGATTAGTAAGAAGAGATCTTTTTAAATTT